AGCCAGGACAGCTCAAAGGGGAAGGTGGGAATGAGGCGCGATACACACCGCTGGGCGCCTCGCTGAAGTAGGTGCCGTCGTAGCAGTTCCGCCGCCGGGCACCGCTCGGGGGGCCGCTGTAGTCCATCTGCAAAGGGCAAGGGCGACCGACTCAGGCCCGCGGGACCGCCGGAGCATCACTCTCTCTGCCCCCTCCCCAGCTCCCCAAGTCTCAGCCACGAGTTTCCTGCCCTTCTTGATGTCGGGGGTGGGGTCAGGGTGGACAGGAGCTGCCTGCAACGTGTCAGGCTACACAGAGGGCGGCCAGTCACCTAGGAGCACAACCCTTAACTTTGGAAATAGGGATACGTGGAGAAGAGGCAGATCGCGGCGCAGCGCGGTGCAGATCACGCTCCCAATCGGGTGGATCGCATCTGTACCGTGCGCCTCCCCCCCAGCTAGGCCACCCCAGGGACAGCTGCCCGGGACAGGGGGTCCACTTCCGGGGATGTTCCCGTCCAACCCGCCCCCCAGGGGCAAGCTCCCTTCCCTCGGAGAAGCTCCACAGATACGCCCCGAGAGCCGCCCCCTGCGCTCTCGCCCGGGTTCCAGCCTTACCATGCCGTCGGAGCAGTTGGAGCGCGGGCTGGACGCGTCCGAGTCGCCGCTGTAGTGCTCGCCGCCGCGGCCGGAGGGCAGCGGGCCGGGGGCGTAGAAGGCGGCGGCGGCGCCAGGGGCCGCGGCGTCCTGGTCGCGTAGCAGCGCCTGCAGGCCCTCGATGTAGCGGATGGCGTTGCGCAGGATCTCCACCTTGGGCAGCCTCTGGTTAGGGTTGCTGGACGTGCAGCGCTTGAGCGTCTCGAAGGCCTCGTTGACTTTGCTCAGGCGGCGCCGCTCGCGCATGGTGGCAGCCTTGCGGCGGTCGGCGTTCGTGGTCTTGCGCTTGCACGCCTTGCAAGCCCAGAGCAGACAGCGGCCCGCCTGGTGGTGGCCGCTGGGCGCGCGCACATGTTCGTCCTCGCGCGCGCCCGGGGCGGGGAGCACGGCCGCAGGGAAGTGCGGGTGTTCCTCCGGCTTCAGAAGTGCGCCCACGTGTACCAGGCGCGGGTCCAGGTCCTCGAAGAAGCGCAGGTCCGGGGAGTCGAAACACGGGTCATCGTAGAAGTCGTCCGTTGTGGCAAAGTTGCAGAGAGAGCCGTCGGGCCCCGTCAAGTCTACGTCGCGTAGCGGCGGCGACAGCAGCTCCATATCCTGGCCGGGGGCGGCGCAGTCCTGGTTCTGCCCAACCAGCGGCAGGGGTTGCCCTAAACTTTCTGCAGCGCGGGAGCCCCGGCCGTGTGACAGCAAAGTGCTGGGGGTCCAAATATATATACCCGACCGCCCCCACCCTGCCCTGTCGGGTCGGGCCGGACGGGCTCCGGGGAAAGTGGCGGCAGTGCCCTGGGGCTTCTCCACCCCTCCCTTCAAGCCAGGCGCCCAGGGCTATTTATCCAGTAGTAGCCTACAGGCCCCCCGGCGAGTGCGGGCTGCTGGGGGCGGGGGCGCCCGAGGCCAATAGGAAGAGGGGAGGGAGGAGCTTGGGATCCCCAGGGTGCCCGCGGAGGCCACCCCCTACCTCTCCACACGCGGCTCCGCGCTCCGACTCCTCCCTAGGCAGGAAGGGAGGCAGAAGCTGGCAGCTCTACGCGGCTGCACTTGGCTCCCGGGCACACTTTCCAAACCTCTCCAGCACAAGACTCTTCCCGTGTCCACAGGAAACGCTGGCCGAGGGCGCTCACCTCTCAGCTGACTTCAGGCTCCTCTGTCCTCTGATTTGGGGTGAGGGTAGGGGGGACCCAGAAGCAGGGTAGGCGTAGAAGTCAGATTGGGAGAGATTTGGAGAGAAGAGCATGGTATTGGGACAGAGAAACACTCAGAGCTAAGATAGTGAGACCGTGAGAGACACACCCAAGAGGCTGAGAGACGCAGAGAGCAGAGCGCCAGAGAGTTAGAGAGAAACGTGCAACCAAGAGATAGACTCCGAGAGTCTAAGTGGGAAAACTTGGGACAAACTGGACGTGACAGTCTCGTCATTAGGCCAGTTCCTGCTCACCCTCCCTGGGCGTTTAGAAATCCAGCTGCATCTATACCGGAGTCCAGGATTGCTGTGAAAGGTCTGCGCCAATCTCTCCAAACTCAGCTCCTGCCCCTGCTTGGAGGGAGGGGAGCAGACTCCTGTCCATCTCAACCTGCACATTTTGGCACTCTGGCATTCAGTGCCACTCTAGGAGGAGATATCTCACCAGCTGGGAAGAAAACTCCATCTGCTCAGGTCTTGCCTCATCTTGCCTCCCCTTCGTGTGCAGCGCTGCTCCAGAAAAGTTCATTTTGCAAAGGCTTGGTACGCCCAGCCTCGTCCTGAGAACCTCACTTCAGAGTGGAGTCGTTGAGAGTGTAGTTTTCAGACCAAATGACCTAAGTTCGAGTACAGACTCTGCAGTTTCCTGTGTAATTTTGTAGAAGTCACTGGCCTTCTGAGTCTGTCTCCCCACTTTGTAAATTTGGGGATGATAATAGGGACCTCTTGGAGTGATTGTGGTGATGGTGGTGGAATCTAGAGGCAAAAGATGTGGAAGCCCTCAGTCTGAGGTGCAAGGCTATAATACAAACAAGAGGGCTTGCTTCTGTCGCTGGCATCCTGTGGACTGTGCCCTCCCTGTAGGCTTCCCAGCTGTTGACTGGGGCACTGAGCCCTGACAGGGGCCCATGCAGTCTCTGGGCTCAGCTCCCACAGAGGCTGCAGCTGCATTTCTTCCCAGCAGGCCCACTGCAGAGACTGAGGATAGGATAGGAGGGTGCAGCCACCCCATGGAATCTCTGGCTTCCTCGCAAGCCCTGGGGTACATCTACCCGCATGGGGCCTCTCCACCTCTCCCTGAGTCTGCAGGCCACACCTCCTCTCGGCTCTCTGGCTAGAGGGCTGCCTTGGGTCTCTTCTCCTGGAGCACAGAGATATAAGCAAGAATGATTTTTGTGCCTTTCCCACTAACTTCTGTAAGCTGTCCTAACTGTCTCTCTGGATACCGGGAAGCCCTTTCTTTCCACCAAACCTAGAGGGCTCTTTTGGAGCCCTGCCTTCCTCACTTGTAGTAGTGCTGACGATCCCTTTCATGAAGTGCTTACCTACCTTTACTCCATAACACCGCTTTCATTTGTTCAGTCAGCACATATTATGGAGCATCAATTTAATGTGCCAGTTACTGGTCCAGGTGTTGAGGATAAAGCAATGAACAAAACCAAGATCCTGCTTTCATGGTGCTTACATTATAGGGTAGGGTGACAGACAATAAATGAATAAACGAGGAAGTATATAATGCCAAGAGGGTGTAAGTTCTCTAAAGAAAAATAAAACAAGGTAATGGGTCAAAGTGATGAAGATTATTTCATTATATGAAGTGGCCAAGGCAGTCCTCTTTAGGCTGATTACATTTGAGCAGAGATCTGAATGAAGGGGGTTAGTGCAGAAGTAGACATCTGGAGCCGGACAGAAGGAAAAACATGTGCAAGGGTCCTGGGGCAGGATTGTGTTTGGTAGATCAAGGGCTGTGTTTGTGTTTAAAGCACAGCAATGAGGCTGGTATGTCTGGAGAAGAGTGAGCAAATGGGAGAGTGGTGGGAGAGGGGGTCAGAGAGGGAGCAAAGGAATTGTATTCTGGAAAGTCACTGGAGAGCTTGAGCAGAAGAGAAGAATGTCATAATCTGACTTACATTTTACCAGGAGCATGGTGGTTATAGAGAAAGGGCAGAAGCAGGGAGGCCAACTGGAGGCCGTTGAGATATCCAAAGTAAGTAGTAATGGTGGCTTAGATGTGGGTGGCAGCTGTAGAGATGGTGAAAGTGGTTGAATTCCAAGTATATTCTGAAGATGGAACCAACAAGACTTATTCAAAATTGGATGTGGGCAGCAAGATGAGAGGCGTTAAGGATGACTCCTGGAAAGAGTGAGGTTGGGGAAGAGCAGGTTTGTGAGTGGCAGGTCAAGAGGCTGACTTTGGGCAAAATTTGAAATGCATATTCAATATCCAGGTGGAGATGACAAGGAGGCAAGAGGATTTATGAGGCCGGAGTTCCAGAGGCGAGATCTGTGTATGTGGAGGACCTACCCACTTAACCTCTAAGACATCTCTCAAGTCTCTCCACCTCCAGTGTCACCATTCTGGACTGAGCTGCCACACTGCTGGCGTGGACAACCCCAACAGCCTGCTGGCTGCTCTCCTTACTTCCACTCTTGTCCCAGTGTATCCATTCGCTACACGGCAGCCTGGTAATCCTTTAACGTAAGTGGGCTTGTATCCCTCTTCTGCGTCAAACTCCCGACCAGCTTCTCATTGCATCTAGAATAAAATCTCATCTCACCCTGGCCTATGAGAGCCTGCGTGAGCTACCCTCAGCCCTTCCGTAATTTCACCTGGATCACTGTCCCCCGTGATCGCTCCATTCTAGCCTGACCACCTTTCTTGTTTTCCAGCACTCTGAGCATGGTCCTGCCTCAGTGCCCTGTGCTTGCTGATTATAGAACCTCCTCCCAGGCTCTTTCCAACATTGGTTGCTTTTCATATATCAGGTCTCAGCTCAAAGGTCTCCTCCTTGGAACATCTCTCACCATCCTCCCTAAGGTAGCTGGGTCACATCAATCTGCTCATTTCCTTCTTAGCACAGCCACTCCTTAACTATCTTCTTTATTAGTTTGTTTATTGGTTGATGTAGCTCCATAAAAGCAGGGGCGTTTTGTTTATTGTGACATTCCCAGAAACCAACACAGTGGCTATCATATAGTAGGAACTTGAGAAATGTTAAATGAATGAACGAATGGGTGGCTCTTTGAATCTCTCTCTATATGTTTGAAATTCTTGAAATGTGTCATTATTGAGGATGGTTGTATTTCTTCTAAACTGGACACTTGCATAGACGATTAGACATATATGCTTGGTCACACTTGCTCTTCCTTGGCAAGACTCAGGCCCATCAGCCTGGGGTATGTTCCTTTATGTTAAGCAACTATACATGGCTCACTGTAGAGCTGTAATAGCATACCAAGGTGAGATTTGGTGCATATTATAAGCTTGAGTCTTTTCATTTGACTCTCACTTACAATGAAGAATATGAATAATTGTTATATCAGTGATTAAACTGAAACAAATATCTCTTCCTACTTTCTCAGGCCTCAGCAAAATGCCTGGCACATAGTAGGCACTCAATAAATATTTGTTGGATGAATGAATGAATCAAGTCATTTAACTGAAAAGTCCTTTGAGATTTTCAGGTGAGCTCTTCAAACCACATATCCATACAAATCTAGACTTTTCTCAAACCTGAGCAAGCAAAGAAAACACAGAAATAAATTGAGGCTTAAATGATTACAACTTTGATTTTTGTGTTTTGCAGTCATAAAAACCATCTCAGGGCTGCCATCAAGGTGCCTTTACAATAGATAAATATTATGTTCGAACTTCCCAAGCACATTTAATATTTTATTACTGTGGCTTAGAAATCTAAACAGCTTTGATAGTTTTAAACTTCGTTTATAGGTTTATCTTCTCCAGTAATTAAGAAGCACTTTTAAAAAATGCACACACACCCTAGTGGCACACCCCACTTTTATATCAGACTTCGGTATGAAGTTTTGTTTGCTACAAGGCTTCTGCTGCTTGAAGAGTTTGGGAATCCCTGGACTCAGTGACCATTGCAGACCTCTCTAGGACTGGGACTCATGCCTGCCCAAGGTCACCCTCCTGGTTGTGCAACCACATCTTTGGGGAGAGAATTCTCATCTTTGTTGCTGAAAGAGCAGGGAGAAGTATGTCCACCCTGGGACCTGGTGCCTTTTAGTCCTAGTGTTGGGTTGGGGGCAGGGAGGAAAAGACAAGTTTGGAAGCTGAAAGAGTCTGTCCCAACTGTCATATTGAAGAGTCTAGTCAAGGGTGTCCCTTGGGGACACAGGCACTGGATTTGTACTGGGAGAGCTCAATGACAATGGGTTGAGGGTCCTAAGGAGGGGCCATCCCCCAACACCTTTTCCTCCAATTCAAGGCTGAGCAGACTGCTGGGCCATGTAATTTGGGCCAGGTGCACACCTCACCAGGGCCTTGGTTTTTTAGTTTTCACAATGAAGAGCTCCTTCCACAGCAGGTAGGGGGTGGGGAGGGCTCCCTGGCCTCTTCTTCCTTCCTTTCTAGTCCCCCATTCTCAGCTCTCTGGCCTGCCTGCCTCAGGCTATAAATGGAGAGCCAGCCTCTGGACAGGAATGCAGAGCTTTCTGGCAGGGCCCCACAATGTTGTACCCTCAGGGAGCGGCCGGCCCCAGGGTTCCCGGCAGCCTTTTTATATATATATATAGCCTCTGGAAACCCAATCCAGCCTGCACCTGTCCCGATCTTCAAGCACCCTGCCCCTGCCCAGGCTGGACGTGTGGCC